CACACACACACACACACACACACACACACACACACACACACACACACCTTCTAAACAGCCATTGTGTGAGTGAGCAGACTGAGCAGGCAATAACAGCTGCATCTGTCCCAATGATGCATGCATTAATGATGAGGCTTTCATCGGGCTCACACCTCTCATCTCCTGCTGGGATGAAGAGCACCAACATGTGCAGCCTATCAACTGGTTCAATAGACTGGAGAATAGGTCTACACACTCTCAGGAGTACTGGGCCGCAACCAGTCTCACTCACACACACAATGCAGACTAAAGCTCCACGTCTTGGTGTACATATCGTTAAAAAAATAAAGAATAAAAAATAAAAAACGTACCCTGACAAACATGTCCAGCTCTGATTTGCGCCGTTTTTCCACTTTTTCTATTTCAATCTGGCATGTGTGGCAAACATACAGGTGGTTGACAGCCGGTCCTCCACCGTACCTGCAGGTAGAAGTCCACAGTGACTCACACGGAAGAAATGAACTCCACAAAAAGGAAATCATACTGCAACATTACTCAATCACAGTTGGCTGTATCTGCTGTACGGACCTGCTGTAAAGGTGATCCCACACGTTCTGCGGCAGCATTACTACCAAGTCGTCGATAAACGTTGCTTTGTTGGGGGGCACACCTGATGAAACACATTGAAACATCCATTAGACATTAACAGGGTAACATTTTAAAAGTCACTGTTATTTATAACAATAAAGAAGCTGGCAGAAAGATGCACAAAAACATCAAAACACAAAAGTGCTCTTACCCTCACTATCTAATATCTTACGGTGTAATAATGTCACATTCCCACAACGGATTTTTCTTTCATGTTTCGCTTTTGGGAAACATTTTGGATAGTTTCACCTCTTCTAGCTTTTCAAAAATTCTTCAAATGAAACAATCCAAGAATAAACGATCACTGTCATATCCAAACTAAAACCATAATCTGTGAATGGGAATCACAAGCACACACTCTGCCTCATTTTAAGCGGTCACAAGGCAGAAAGATTTGGGGCCACTACATTAGAGGACACACTTTACGGGCAACAACCATTTTATGGCTGTTTGATTGAAAATTCTCTAATAGGGAAACATGCTGCCAGGGCCCCTAATAAAGGCTTTGCATGCCTCAATATATATATATATATATTGCTGTCGGGACTGCTGCAACACAATCATGGTTTCACTGCACCGATATCTCTAATAGTAGGGCTGAAGGATTTTCAAAAGATATCTAATTGTCATTATTTTGACTGATAGTGTAATTGCAATTTGATTTGTGACATTAGAGGCAACGATCATTTTTCAACAGAACATGATTATAGTGTGATTTTTGCAGCGATCTGTATCAAACAAAGATGTTTTCTTCAGTCTATAGAATATGATGTTTAGGCCAGGCAGCATGACAATATTTCATTTAAAATGGTATTTTAACTTTAACAAATATTGCAGTCGATAAAATTCTGATTAATTGTGCAGCTCTAACTAATTGTCAGTTATGAAGTGCTCCTGTAGGTGCTTATTTACAGAGTGAAACACATTCTCTGCCGCCACTGTATTCTAACAGCTTTATCTTAAACTCTTTCATTTCCAGTGCGCTCTCAATAGAGGGCAGAAAAGAAAGCCGCTCGATTGGCACAAAAGCCTTTTATAATTCCTCCCTCTTCTCCGCTAAGACGGGAGAGGAGGATCATCTGCTCAAAGAGATGTAAAACCCCCTTTTTGAAGTCTGCTGTGTTGTGAAGGGAATACTCTGCAGTCTTTGTCAAAGTCAAAAATCCACAGCAAAGGATAAAAGCAAAGGCTCCGTTATTTGAAGGGGAGAGCACAATTTCTCCCCCTAAACGCTTGTGCATAGAGAGAAAAAAAGAAAAAGGATTCCTGTTTCGGGGACACTTTCACCTCTGAGCAGTTTCAGCATGACGATGACATAAGTATCACGCACCTCCATGCAAACACAGGAAGTCGTC